AATACAAAGATATGTGTGAAGTCAACCAACACGCACTTGGGCAGCGTGGTTGACTATGGCCTAATCACCCTTAACTTAGGGTAGGGCTCGGAGGCCCCTCGGTGGGGACGTATAGTGAGCTGATGATGATGATAATTTTAGATTTGAGGCGATTAAAGTATGCAAACGGTTTTATAGATATGAAATTTATTTAAATTTCAATTTAATTAACACGTTTCCGCGAATGTGTTATTTATTACTACTAGACAAGCATACTGCAATAATGTGGACGTACATACGATTCTTCACGTCAATGAGTTATTTTATTTGAATTTTAAATATATTTAATTGGAAGCAATGTTTAACATGAAAAAAGATGTATGTATTCAAATTGTAACCTAACCTTTATACTGCAAATGTCGTACAAAGTTTAACATATGTTACATTTAATTTGGAAGGCACATTATCGTAAATTTATATATTTGGTTATTTAAAAAATATATTCTACTGTATATAGAAAATATCTTTTAATTGCATTTAAAATTAGACAAAGATATGACAATATATAATATATGCAAAATAGGAAGCATCCTCGGTAAAAAAATTGTTTGAAATGTTTGCAATCTAGCAAATATGAATTCTAGTAGTATATATAGCCTAGACTAGTTTGGACTTTAGACTACATCTCTTAGTATCATTATGCACTCTTATTATTGCGAATATCAAGGACAACATGATATGCAATTTACATATGTTTTATTAACAATATATAATTCACGAATGTTTTTCGACCCTGACATCTCGAGCCAAGGTCCTATAAAATTTCCAAGTTGTAGCCTTGGTTTTTGTCTTATATGAATTTAATATAAGTTGTATACATACATGTACAAGTATACATGTTTAAGAAGGCCTTTCCTCAGATTGCGGAAGGCATTGGGGAAGACATTATCACTAAGCAACAGGTGAAATCGTGGTCAAGAGCTAGCTTATTCATATATAAAAAATATCTATGTCCAGCAACGGGCCAGACACAGGCTGCTGGTCCTGATGATATATGTTTATACATAAAATTAATCTGTACATCAAAATATTTAATAGGAGAAATACTTGCATAGATTTGACAATATATTTTATACTAGTAGTTTTATTCAATTACTAGTTGTCGCCCGCAACTCCGTTCGCGCGGAATTAAAAAAAAACATAATTAGTAGTCTATGTGTTCTTCCAGACTATGTTCTGTATATATGCCAAATTTCATCGAATTCCTTTTAGCCGTTCCTACAACAATACAAAACAGCCGTACAAACAAATCATCCATTCAAACTTTAGCATTTATAATATTATAAGTAAGATTTACGTTTATTTTGATTGTATTGTTTACTTTATTAAAATGTAGTTTACCTATGTGAACGTGAGATATTTGCAAACATTGCATATAAATAATACATCTAAGATAAATCAAGTAGAATATGTAAACAATAAACGTGTGTAATGCATATTCACGAATTGTAATAAAAATTAAAATAATTTTACAAGTACCGTCTTTTATAGTGACACTGAGATATCGAACAACTATGATTAGTTTGATAAAGTACTCAAAATGTCGGACATATAAAAGTTAAACGCGATAACATTTGTGACATCTGTTTAATTAGGATTGTGTACATTTGAAAAAGTGTAGAGATTGTTACTAAAGTGAGGAATATTTGGTGCAATTAAGACTAATAACTTTATAAATAGTATTTACGTTGAATTTGAAACCAAATGAAACGTAAGTAACCAATTATATTTAAAAATTAGTTTTAACATGTACCATAATTTACTGCATAACTCCTAATTTTGAAAACTTAAGGGAAAAAGATTTTACGATTTGAATCGTTATTTTAATCAATCTTACTATCTTAGTAATATAATATTATAAATGCGAATGTTTCGATGGATGACTGAATGTTTGTTAGTCGATATCTCCAGGACGGCTGAATGGATCTCTCAGAAATTTGGCAAAGATGTAAAACATATTCTGGAAGAACTCATTATTATGGAGGCTATTCTTTTTTATACCGCGCGGATGGAGTCGCGGGCGAAAGCTAAATATAATTTGTGGAACATGAGTAACTATGAAGTTACGACATTCCTCACTTGATCGAATAACGAAACCATACAAATTGATATTAATTGCCCTCAATGAAACGATTTGTAATCCACTAGTAGTTATTTGAGCACAGACTTCCTCGAATAAAGCTTTCTATTGTTGATTTTAAGATAACAAATCTCATTAATTTCTGCCTAATTACAAAAGATAGATATTATAAAAGTTTTTACTATATCGTTAAAAAGAGGGGGAATAGAAATCTAATTATCAGATCAGAGAGCAACTAATAAATTGGAGGTCATAATAGTATCTATACCTTTCAATAAAGCATTTTTCTATTTCAATTAGATATTTTAATTCATTATAAGTATGAAAATAATGAACGTTATTGCCTATACTGGGGTTAATATTGACAAAAAAGTAATTGCTAATTATTGTAACTATGTGTCACTTTATCAAATCTAAATTTCTAGGTTAGGCGATGTAGGTCTAATTGTTGAAGTAAGTTGGATTATTATATTTTTTTCTATTAGCGGGTATAAATAATGGTTACAGTAAAACCTTTTTAAAAGTATACAATCCCTTGGCCTATACTTGGGTATTAATTACATTTTAAACATGATATTCGTCGTTTGTAATATATGTTATTATTTTAATAATAGGTAAGATAATAGATCTTCGACATGCTATATATCAAAACATACATTAAATAGTATTAAAACTGGTGGGAGTATGACTCAGTGATATTTTGTAATAGTGTAAAGTTTGACATTTTTTCTCACTAATGATTTTTAGTGGACAAAGTATGTTTATATGAATGTGTGTGGGTTTTTTGGTGAACCTTAATTCTTCCCAAACCGATTTTGACGAGAGAATTGACGTTCAATTCATATCTCTGGAGTATTATAGTAATAAGTACAGCCAGACAGGCTTTTTTACATTAATAACTACAGATTGGTTGATTGGAAAGTTATAGAATTATATAAAAGACACTATGTTTACTTTAGATAGCTTAGTATAGAAAAAAAAATGTTCTAATAGATTACGAAATTTTTTAATTTTTAAAAAAATCGTTGTTTAATTTTTTTTTGCTTTGAATCTATTTATAACTAGGATTCACATATTAAATGAAAAACCTGGCTACCGCATTTCATACGTAACTAGGGCGTAACTGAAGTACACATTGTCTGCACTGTTTGTGCCATTTTATTGCGTTCTTTGTATTCATATTGAATGTAACAACACGAGCTTAGTCATAAATGAGAAACATGAGTAGAAATAAAATAATATGATATAATCATAAAATCGAAAAAAATGAAAAACTATTTCTTCTTCTTCTAGTGCCTCTTCAGTCTTAAAGGTTGGCCGCTAACTTGGAATATTGGAATATTTGGTTTCAAATAAAAAAAAAAACGAAAAGAAATTCACCCAAAAATTTAACCGTTCTCATACTGAAAAAAAACTCTATCTATAAAATGCCAGATTTGGTACAGTTTCAATTTAATTTTGGCATAATTTGGTACTTTTTGAAAGAGTATTAATTATTTTTCTTATAGATTGCATATCATAAAAATATTGAAAGTCGATAAAAGATTGGATTATATCGATATTATTACATGAACAAACGGCAGCGTTATTAAATCTCAAACTCTACATACATAGGATGAACCAACAATTGTCGTATGCGAAATGTTGGTTCAAATTATTGGCACATTATTTTAATTGTTGGAATATAACTGGATAGAAGCTTAATTACGCATTGTAATACGGTTACAATACATCATAACGAAATACTGAATAAAAGTGGTTAAACAACTAAGATGAATAAACTAAGTTAAATTTGAATTTATGAAACGGAAAAGTTCGTTCCAAACTCCGTTATAAAAAATGGTATCTAAATGCAAAGGATGCATTAGAAAATAATTTATTATGGCTACATTATTTCTTATATCATAAGAGAATTTTTAGGAAACGGTACTGTTTGTTATCAATGTTGGGTAAGAAGTCAGAATAAACGTAATATATTTTTTCTTGGAGTTTTTATATTTTTTCATTATTATTTTAGTATATGAAGTCTTTTGTTTTCTTATGACAGTCAAAGTCGAATCCAAGTTAAGACTACAAAAAAGTGGAAAACGTGAGACTACGTTGTTCTATGACATTTTTTTCTTTAAAAACTAGCTTAAAGCGGCTAATAATTTTTTAGTTGTACGTTTTACCAGTTTTTTTTAATATATTAATTTAGTAATAACTTCACGGTGGTATGCGTTCCGATGTTGTAATTATTTCAGAAACTTTTTGTATATATTTAACTTAATTAGTGTAATTAATTCATCTTAACATTTTACTTTTATGCAATCAAATGCAAACGAAGTTTTGTGAAAGCTGGAACTAAAGTAACCAGTGATGGAAGGTCAGATAAAATGTAGCGATAAGGATTATTCCAAATATCGTTAAAAACCGTAACGCAAATGTTTTGTTGACGATTTTTCTTATCACCTGTCAAACAATAACCACGTGTAGCGGAGATGACCGAATAAGTGCCGACGTCAAACGAAGTCGCACGTAAATATAGTTTGGGATGAACGAATGCGTCGTCGTACTTTGAAACTGCCGGCAAAAACCACTGGGTGTGCGTAACTATGAGATTGTTGCCAAATATACTCTATCAACAACGCTTTAATAAAACATTTCATACATTCAATACGAATACAATAAATATATAAAGCAAAAACACGTACCAACTTACTTCTGATTTAAAAACACGTATATTACAAAAAAGACCGCGAAAATATTGCGCTGGTTATTTATGCGGAGCCGTTTGTTTCAGTGAGTAATTATCAGTCCCTGTTTATTTGCTTTGTTGTGTTCTCGACATTATTAATAATTCGGCATATTATTGAGGATGTTATGATTGTTGCGTCCGTACCTGTTCCCCACCAATATTTCTTCCAGCCGACTGACACTGCGCGAAACATGGCGTTACGTGCGACGCCGACAGCGCGTGGCGGCCAACTGACTCACATTTTCGATGTCAAGCTCAATAGACCCCGTTTAGATTGTTTCAAATTCAAATCTTGAATCTCTCCTATTTTTTTATTGTCTTAAATGTGTGACAAAAGTATAATAATGCAACAGTATATTAGATAGAGATGTTAATGAGGTTATACGTTCGACGAGAAGAGACAGAAGTTGTGCGCTGTGGAAAACGACAATAGGCTCTTAGCACCCTTACACCCTGACTCAATTAATCTCTAATTAGAAGCGAGAGTGCTCTTAATGTTGAATGGAGATGGATTTCACATCGGTGTCGTTGGGCTAAATGGAAATCTGACAGTTCGATGGGTGTCAGGTTAGATGAAATTCAGGTCAGCCGAGGACGCCTCTTCCAATACAGGTAATTGAATTTGTTGGTTATTTATTTAGATTAAACCCTACATCTTCCTCCTTTGCAATATTTAACTTTGATTTAGATTGACTTTGATAGGAGTTTAAAGAGTGTAAAAAGAGACTCTGACTGACTGTTGGACAGATTTTGTTAGGTTTCTTTCTTTTTCTTTCAGAATCAACACTGATCAATTGCAGTTTGTCGGGTATACATTAGTTAACTTCCGATTGTGAATTACAGAGTCTACTATTAACCGTGTTTTTAATGTAAATTAAGAAAAACTGGCATTCAGACGCATCTATAATTTTTTTCTATATGTGGACTCGCAAACTAGTTTCTAGCTTTTGTCTAATAAAATATCAGTTGCCAAAAAGTTGGCGGGAATCAAATCCGCTTCGCATTGTAACCTCACAGTAGTGGTATATAATTGTGTAATCACATTATTGGTATGGAAAATTTTGTTCGGTCAGGAATCCTACCGGTTTTTTTTGGGTTTAATTACCTATACACCATTATTATTATACATAATATCTTTTGTATACTATTTAGTAAAGGAAAAATAACAAAACACGATAACAATTTTAACAATAAAAAAACGTGCAATGTAATAAAATTATTAAGTTATGATCATAAAATACGAAAATCGAATAGGGTTCTTTTTTTAAATTAAAAAACAAGTTATAATAAATTAAATAAGTCTGTATAAAGGTTAAATGTAGCTTTCATCCGGGCGGCTATATCTAAATAGACGTATAAGCATTTAGTGTGCTTCTACGATCCCCAACGACAGTCATTAGTGCAGCTTAAGTACGCTCCTAGTATTCACTTATCACTCGCCGTTTGAACGAGAACACTGGCTACAGTATAATAAAATTCAATTGTAATTTCTAGCTCATAGCTTAAAGTTTCGTCTATTAAAATTATTTTTATAAGAACATGGAATATATTTTACGTGACATGCTTAAAAGCTTTTAATCAAGCTTAATATTTAATTTATGAATATACTCTTTCTGAAAATCACTTCTTCTTAGGAGTGTTAAGTTGTTAACACTGACTTCTATTTTTTTTATGTGTATTTGCCTTTAACAATATATAAAGTGTTACATAATGTTAATAAAGTCTATTTTTTATCAGTAATATCATTGAAAAACTATTACGCAATTATTGTATTGTGAAATTATAATAGTTATTCGTTAGTTAGTTATAATTAGTTATTCGCATTACTTAAATAGTTGGCTAAGTTTTCAAGTTAAAAGATATAAGGTCGAAGATTAAAGTCACGATAAACATTTTCTTGTAGCTGAACATACAGACGGCATTGTTCCAACTTCGGTTACTAATTATTTCAAGAATTTAACTAATTAATATTCTTGTTATTTGAAATAATAGCAATTTAACGTTTACAACTAAAGCTAGGCGCTGAACAAAATAATAATAGTATTTTGGAGTTAAATAACTTGATTTTATTTTTGTAAAAATCAAAGATTTATTTCTACAACAACAGCAACACACGTCTCGCCCTTAAGGTGTAGGCAGAGATTACCAATCCTCCAATTACCTCGGTGCGCTCCTGACACCCTTGTGTCTTCTAATTCACATTATAAAGATATGTTCTCGTCAGTTGAGGGTGATTAGTATTACTATTTCTATACTCGTTTGAAAACCACAATATAGTAGACGGCGGTGGTATTGACCGATGTTATTGTCATATCAAATAAATATTATTGAATAATTGCTACTTAAATTCTTCGTTTAATCTTATTCGAAAGTATTCAATATTCACATATCATGCTGTTGTTATTACTACTACGTCGTATTGTTGTCTCTGTTTAATCATAGAGTATGTAAGAGATGACGATATATGTCAATATAAATGTTATACGTTATTTGTAAGTATAACTGCTATTGTGCTATTTCAAACAGTAGGATTATTAGCGAGAGCTCCGGCCGCAGCCGTCTCTTTGTTTAGTTGTCTGGAAACTGTACACAGACTTAAATCTTCTTACTGTGTTGCCAGTAAGGATGTATTACTTGAGAGATTTAAACACGATGAAGACAATGAATTCTATATTTGTTTGGAAACATATTAACTGTTAAATGCATGACTTTATTTTTAAATGTTGTACGACTGTACGATCATGTGACTCTACTAAGAGACATGAGAGATTTAAAAGTATAATAATATTATAAATTTTCAAATGAAATCTTCTATTATGTTTGTAATTATAAATAAATAAATAGATAACCGCGCCGCTTACTGACGAGGTAGGTAGAGACTATGGATTTTCATTTAGCACTGCTCGCAACTTTTTTTTCAAATTGATTATTATTTAATTGATACGGTTTTTTCATGACATGTCATGTTGCCAATCCTTAGAAGTAAAATTTGTAAATAAATCTTTATGGTTTTATATGTTGACATGTAAAAAATATTGCATATTTAAAGTAACGAAAAATATTTTAATACGCTTCAAATGCTATGCAAAACAGGATTAATATAGCAATGTTGTCTCAACATAATCCAGCGGCAGATACTCGTCGACAGAATCTAATAAAATTTGAATATTTTTCTTATTCCACGAGTTTTCATATATTTTAGTTAAATATATGAAATATGCATCTTTATTTAAACGTATATTGTCCATGAATAATTTAGTGATCTATACAGACTATAATTAAAATGAATCGTTCAGTTTTTAGGGTTCCGTACCTCATAGGAAAAAACGGAACCCTTATGGGATCACTTTGTTGTCCGTCCGTCCGTCTGTCAAGACCCTTTTTCTCAAAAACGCGTGAAGGTATCAAGTTGGAATTTATTTAGCATCTCTCTCGGTACGACCGAAACATAGCATTAAAAAAACTATTTAATTTTATGTTGAAAAGTTCGTCAGTTAGGCCCTTATTATAATGATAAGTAAAACTAATTATACTAGATATTGTGCTCATGTAATTAATTGGAATACGACTTGTAACAAAATATATTTGAGCATTTGGTGCGGCTGGTGCGGTGTGTGGTCATTATCGCAGTATCGCAGCACAGTAATGGTCCGATTCGTATGCATGAAACACAAATAAGCAGCAATAAGCACTTGGGAATAATAATGTAATTAGAAGCAATATTAAACAAGTTCACAACCATACTGATAACATTTATATAGACTGTCGAATTAACTATTATACCTTTTATTAACAGAATTAATGAAATAAACGAATGACACACAGCTTTAAGCTTGCGTTGTTGTTGTGAATTGTTGGGAAAGATTCGAAAAATACATTGGTACATGGCGGGATTCGACCACAGGACCGATTACAAGTCAAGTGCTTCACCCCTGAGCCACCGACGCTCTCTCAGTCAGTTCTTCAATAAATTCCAATAATCCAAATCAATAGTTAATTTGCAAGGCCACCGGATGAAAATATGTTCTATCAGAACAGGAAAATAATTCTAAGTATAATACATTCACAGTGTTCTTTATATTTTATAGCGAGAACATATTTTTTTTTTATTTCAATAATTTTGAAAGATATACCTCCATTCGTAACTGAACAATGATATATACTAGCGTTGCGTCATTGAAATCCATTGTAAGAGACACAATACGTTTAGTTTCACCCTTAATGTAATTTCTGTAAGATGTTTTGATATTATTAGACCTACAAAACGTCGACAATGGCTCTATAAGTCCCACGCTGTGTACTCTTCTCTTTCAAGTATACAATACTTATCCTTTTTTGCGACATATTATTACGTTCTCTTTGATCATTACTTTGTGGCTGGAGTTATTAATAACATTTTTTTGCTAAGAGATTAATTTCATAGTAGAAAATAGGTTACCAGCCAATATTTTAAACCCTCGTAAGCTATTTAAGGAGATAAGATAAGAAAGGGTCGGGTACGGAAGTATCAAAGTTCCATGACATTGTACGACATTGCTCTATTGTTTAGCAATGTCGTTAGTTAGTTAGATTTTTTCCACAAATATATCTGTAATTTACATTTGCTAAATGCAAAATATCACTACTTGCTCTTATGATTGTCTATATTTGAAGTTTAGGATGATGAGTTATTTATCTATTTGTTTTCAATCCAAGGGTAATGGACATTTAATCTATCTTATTTATGTCTAATAATTTATTGTGAAAAGTTTTTTCTTTAATTTTTTTGCCTCAAAAATGTTAGCTATTAAAATATGTGAGGCACTTTCAATTTCACATGAGCCTATTTTTATTCGCCTGCGAGTTTACTGACCGCAATTCTAAGAAACAGCTGCACAGTCTATAGTCAGGCAGGCGTTTGTAAACACAATGTGTGTGTCCGAGTTTCCTTTTGTCCTGTGAACTAACTTCGCTTTGACAAAACTTTGACAAAGGCGAATGAGATAGCAAAAGGTGTCTCTCGTTAAATGCCCTGTGGTAACGGTCTAATGAACACGAATCTAAATTTGGTTTGAATTAAAATTATGACTGTAGAAGTTTCTCGTTGATTGGAAGGCATTAAATGTTTTGTATCTTTTGAATTCTTCTTTTCTATGAAAATTAAAAGCAGTGCGTATCTTCAAAGTCTGTGAAAAAATTACTTGAGATTGAAGGACGGCAATAAAGAATATTAATATAATTATTTATAATATATTTATTCGAGTATACACTATTGCAACATAAACACATTTCTTACGATTATATTCGGCTCGCTTAGTGGAACGGGTGCCATTTATATGTTATCCAAGGTCTTAATTAATCAGATTCTTGCAGTTTAATGACTAAATGTCCTTAACATCTGGTGTTAATAAATTATTTGTCTATATTTCAATAGCAAAGTTTCGCCAACATCATTGCAACATCAGTTGCAAGGCGCTCTTGCAATTTCGTTGTTGCAATATTTATGTTAATAATGTCGTAATTAATATGTTACCTTTTCTAACATCCATTTCTTTTAATTTTAGTACCAAGAATGATCGTAATTGAAATTAAAAAACATAAACTTGAGCAGACGAATTATACGAAAAAATGTACATCTACTTTTTTCCTAATAGTTCATACACTAGCGCATATTTTCGACGGTTACTAGTTTTTCCAAAATAGTAGGTATATTATTATAAATAGACTTGGCCTAAATACTTTTATTTTTTTAGATCAAAAATAGTTGGACACACATGACTGAAGTAAATACTAGGTAGGTAATGTCATAAAATCATCTCGTTATACGTTGTTAATCAAAATGACAATAAAAAACAAGCAATTAATGTATAAATAATATTATTAATAATACTTAAATCATAATCTTTATTTACACTTTAGTGACAACCCATTAACTTCATAGTAATGTTTCTATTAAAAATACCTCAAGAAACCTACATATGATAATTATTATATTATTATGTAATCTGCAGTTAGTTACTAATTTAAGCTCTATAGAGATTTCTGTAGAACAGTTTATTAAAAACGAATAAACCGAAAACCACGGAATAATCAGAAGTCAGAATAATTATGGATTACATACAAAAAATGGAAATAAAATCATAAAAATATCCACAGATTACAAGCAAAGTACACTTCTGATTAATCAAATTATTTTGTCTTACAATATCTGACCATATAAAATCGTTACGCCTTCTACATCCAAGTTATTTTTATATTTTCTACTTTATTTTGGCAATATGATTTCGATAGGAAAATTTAAGAATTTAAAATTATTTTAAATTGGTATGTATTTTTGTTATTACACAGTACAGTAAAGTCTAAAATAAATAACTCAGTGACGTCATCAAATAAACATTCTACGGTTTAAACAATTGAAGACTTTTTCATCTTTTGTTTAGACACCTCACGCTATCTTCTTGACACTTTTACTCTGACCCCAGAGCAGGTCGATGACAATCCATTGTCCAGTATAGTAGAACATGTGACCAATAAACATATGGATGGTCAATACGACAAATTTAAATGTGGTAAATGACTTCAGCCCTGGATAAACGTATTCTCCTTTCAATAAACTCGTCAGACATCTGTTGACAAATCAAAACATATTACGGTGGATACCTAGATGTGGGAAGCTGCACTAAACCATATTTTCTCTGGTTTTTCAAAGAGAATAAGTGGAATAACAATGATTATGTTTGTGAAAGATGTTTTGGAAGTGGATCTACGGTTATTGACCTATAATTGTGATTAAATTAAGAATTGACAAGTCATTGAATTTTAGTTACTATAAAAAGGTAAACTTTAAAGAACAGGCAAAGACTATGTCTGTTCTTTAAAAATTAATGTTCCCTTAATTAAAAAAAGTAAATACATATTTCCGGTCATATATAGATATTGTAGGATATATTTTTCAACACTCAAACCTACGTAATTCTTCTAAGAAATATAACGAAACAAACAAAGCTTGGAGTTTGTCAACATACTTGACTAAATATTCTGCAATATCCTGTCTAAAAAAGGAGTTTTTTCTTTACTGACTTATTTCTTGACCTTCAAGAGTACGTAAATAAACATGGAAGATAGTAAATCGTCTTACAGTGACCTTTTAGTTAGTTATTGTTAAATGTAATGTAATGTTGTAAAGATAAGCGTTTAGTTAAATTAATTATTATACAGATTAAAACAAATATCTCATATAGCAAAGTAAACTTACACAAAAATATAGCTGGTCAGATATATGGATAAAAGTATGACACCCCATTTATATGTCTTTGGTCTTTGCCGCGGCACTAGTACTAAGTCGAATATGACAAAGACCAGAGATGCGGTGTGCATACTATGCTGTTCCCACACCGACACGTACTTGTCGACTGACAGCGGCATCAATAACTTTCTGTCCGTGTTCCATAAGTTCCAGAATAGTACGTCCGCATACTGAAAGAGATAAAAAAAATTGCAGCCAGTCTATCAGGAATGTGCATTTGGTAATCGATTGAACATTTATCAGACGTCTGATGTTATTACGCACATAAATATTCTGTCTAGATTATCACATCGCACCACCCACCAGATTAAAATATGTCAGAAGACAATGAAATGAATCTGACGGTAGCAGCAAAAAGTTTTGAATGCCATCTAAAGACTGATATACACAAATACATTTTCTCGAGCATTGTTTTGTAATATATTATTCTTACCAATGGCATGTACAATACAGGTAAAAGCACAGTTTCCAAAGCAAGTCTGATTCGTGAAAGGGTGTGATACAGTCGAACATATCATAGAGGATTTCATCCTTCTGTTATAAGTAAATCACCCTTAACTTAAGGTAGGCTCCGAGCCCCTCGGTGGGGACGTATAGTGAGCTGATGATGATGATGATGATGATGAGATCATCCTTTTACAAACTTTGCCAACCAAATCACAACACTTTAAGTCGTATTTTGAAATGATTTGCGAAATAAGGTTGCTAATTACAAATAACTTAATTTTTTTTGAAATTTTTTTTAAAATATCATAAATTGCACTGAATTTGGTTCGCGTAGTAATCGATAAATAAAAAAAATTGGAAAATTTAAGTTAAAAATTCTGTTAATTGTTCTCTTATTGTAGTAAAATTTAACTGACCTTTCCGTTCATAATCTAATAAACGTTTGATTATATTATGCAAATCGAGAAGTTTTAATGAGGTAATTTGGTCATATTATATATGGCGACCCACAAAATATTAGGCATGATGTTTCAAGAAGGCAAAAATAATTGACGCAATTTTGTAAACAGTTGGTACTTCCTTAATATTAGTAATCATCTTATGATAAAATCAATATGATTTCGTGGTCAAATCGCGGACTAAACTTTTTATAAAACAAACAAACTATTCGTTGTTTGTTGTCTTTAAATTACAATCAATTTATGTCTATTTTTTTTCAACAGATATTTTATCGTCTGGCTTTTTTAAAATGCTATTTGAAAGTAATAAAAACAAATGAGTACTCACATATTTAACACGCCGTGAAGCATAATATAAAATTTTAAGTTAGTAAAATGCTTCTGAAAAGTGTTGTCAGTCTTTATTCCCTCGCACACATATTATAAATGCGTATGTTTGAATGGATGGATGGATGTTTATTTGAAGGTATCGCCAGAAAGGCTGCATGAATCTCGCTGAAATTTGGCATAGATGTAGAACATAGTCTCGAAGAACACATCGCGCCGACGGAGTCGTGGGCGACAGCTATTTTCGAATAATTCTATAAAATAATAACTGATAGTTGTTGAAATAGTAGGAAGTGAAGAATATTACCAATGTGGCTGGCAATATGAGATTTGTAAAGTAAAAGTCTCGAATATTTTTCAATTTTTCTACGTTTGGCGGCACGGGGCGGTCGGCTTTCCTTTTGAGTTCGCGCCAGTCGACGTACACGCAAATTGGAATGTATGGTATCGTCAAAATCTGGAATAAGAAAAAAAATCGTTCAGGACACTCCACAAAGCTACTGTAAAGGTAACTACTTTTGGTTTATATTTATTACTATTGTGGTATTCAAAAAATATAATTGATTACTTAAAAATTAACATAAAAAATAATTTTAATTTGCAATATCTAGATCGCAGGCAGATAACGGGTTGGAAGGAAATGAAAGTCATGGTTAAGAAGCATTCTGGAATGGACCACTATTGCCAGCATTGAACAGGACAGGGACGCTGAGCTGACGGTCAACCCTCAGTATCAGAGAGGCATTAGAAGAATAAGAAAATCTTGATCTGGTTATCTAAAAATGAATCATGAAACGATGTTTCCTTGCTGGTGGGTATATTAAAAAATTCAAAAAAGCATGGATCAATTACTTTACTTAATTACTTTCTTTTTCATATTTCTGATACACTTTTGATTGAGTTGCAATTAACGTTAAAAATATTGACATTGAATATAAATGTATGTAAATTTCGAATAGCATAGTTATTTACTTACCTTTGAGGAAATGTATGAATATGTAAAAATGTATTGGAAATATAAATTAGATTTTATTTTGATCAAGCAATTACCTTCTAACTTTAACAAAAACACTTGATTTTATAATTTATTAGTCTAATTATAACATTGTAATTTGCTTACATTAAAATCACTTTACATACCAACTAGTGTTATGAAGCGCGTTTCGATAAAGTGCATTATAGGAACCAACCAGGTCTAGTTATTTTCATGGACCTTTATTATTCAATTGCTAGCAGGTGCTTTGTATGTATATAACCAGATTATTCGGACATAGTGGTTCTTACCCGCGTATTACCAAAGAGGATATTAAGGGTTCTTGTGGTCTTTGGTGGGATTCAGGACCAAATGTTTTGATGCTAAAGCGGTTTAAAATTATATTATTACTGATCTAACTATTCATGAGTTTTTAGATATATTTCCTAAAAGCCGTTGGTTGGCGAGTTATAGGAATTTTTTTTTTCTAGAAGTAAAATATTTTCCTTAAACTTCTACAATCTTTTACTATATTCTAGAATGTACCTGTTGCATTGTTTTTTTCCTTTAAAAAGGAAACTCATACAACATTTAATTTCGTCTTGTATCAAAAATACTTCTTTTAATAACTTCCTGAAACTATCGCAGAGTTAAATTTAAAATGACCTCAATAATGTCGTTTTTTGGCTTGGCCTTTTTTTTATAAGCCATTGGCCATATCGCATTACAGTATAAACAAATGTCATCAACAAGTTCATGATCAACTTTTCTCCTTCATAAAGTTCAAGCCAATAGCCCAATGGTTTCTATAAAGGATATCATCATATCAAAAGAAAATAAATATATAGAGTACAAATAGAAATTGGAATTTATAAGTTTAATCTTTGGTCTCTTTGATATTAGCTTTAATAATTATTCTATAAGTATGAATATTATCGGCCAAAGATTAATCGATAAATACTATAGGTTTGTACTATTAAGGGTATGCCAAGTCAACTTAGTGTGCATACTTATCAATAATTTTTTGGACATTTTTTGAGACTATCTTATCAGATTATTTACCAACGATATTTAACCGTATAAATTATTTAACGTTCGATCATATTTTTTTTTATTTGCCACAAATATAGAGCATAGTCTCGAGTAAAAAATTAGATAATTTTCAACTGTTTTTAATTCTGCGTTGGCGATGTTGCGGGCAAAAATTGGTTACTAAAAAAAAGAAAATTGTGTACCTAAGTAGTTTTTGTGTTATGCCAATTTTTCTTTCTTTCTATAATTGTAATTGTCCGTTATTTAAATTCTGAAAATCTTTTATCGAAGTCAATTAATATCACGTTTACATAAAATGGTTTATAATTAAAGTAAAATATTATACTTTGGTTTATTATATATTTAGTAAAGTGATTTATTATTGCTGTTTATTTACAAATTTCATCAATATAATTATAATATTTTGTAATTAATTTATCGATGGAAGGAAAATTTTAGTAATGGGAATTTTTTCTCAGAATTGTGCAAAATTGTTAATATATTTCAGGAGAGGTCTTTGAATATTATAATCCAACTAAAATATTTTCTGGGAATTGGGATTCCCTGCCGGTTTTATTCAAGATAAAAATTTTCGTAGAATTTTAGTAAATAATTATTTTTATAAAACAAATTTACGAGTACGCTTTAATTAGACTTACATTGAACCATGTTGTAATCAATTTCCACTTTAGTGTCAAATAAACTTTTAGATCTGGATCATTGGAAGTCGCAAAATCCTTGTTCAATAAAACCACAGACATTATATTTAGATGGGCGTACGTCAAACAGTACATGAACAATCTCGTTTTAAGGAACAGTTTACTGTTTCGTAAAAAAATATTTTGTAAGTTAAACATTGTCGGGCGCCACCGCACTGCCGCGTTTTACGTTTGGTTATAAGAAATGCGTAAGAGGAACTCAGCGTAAGCTTTTGTAACCGACACATTTATGCTCCGTGTTGTGTAGAAATAATCCGGTTTCAGACTTTACGTTATTATACGTATTTACTATTAAAACTGAAAATGATATATCAAACGTGATTAGGTTATAGGGGTAATATTACAATAAAATAAATTTTGAATAGTTAATTTCAAATTACGCGGCATTTAGGTTATGTTTTTGTTTACACCCGCGCCGACCGACGGCCGTGAACGGCGACCAGCGAAATCGCGATTTGTTAATGAAATGCGAGATAAACAACTTGCTCTCGAATATATTCTACGTCGGTCTGAGAGTAGAATGTGATGAAACATTTTCGGTTTCAAGGTGGCTTTTTACTTGCGCCTGCAGTTCTATGTTGAGAAAGTCATTGGTTAATTTAGCATCAAGATTTACCTTAGTATTGTAAACTAGGTAATGTGAGTTATGATAATTGAGTCGCCTCATCGTCTTATAATTAAAAAAATCATTGTACTTTTGGCAGTGACCTTTATTGTCATTTTATTTTAAAGTCACAAAGAGTTTACAGGAAATAATGTTTAATGTTTTTCTCTGGTTTCTAAGTGTCACTACGGGCTAGTAGACCTTGAATTATGTGTACCTGACGATATCGTCAATAGCAATTCTTTATTCAACACCAAACAGTGATTTGTCATACATAGTGTATCGCTATTTATATATCGAAACATTAATGTAAATTAATGCCTTATCCTCTTAATCTCTATCCCGTTTTATTAGCTCCTCTCCACGTTACAGTCAAAGTCAGGTTCAACTTGTCAGGTTTTCTTCTATTTTTTTTGTGACTGTTCAGTGGTCACTGTGGTCACTGTTTGAAGAGGCATTTACAGCTTCACCGGGTTTGAGGTGGCCGTGCGCAGATGATGCTTAGCCTGAAACCTCGTTCAAGAGTACCAAGACTAGAGGGTTTCCTAAGGAGCCTCGGCTCGGGCTGTTATTCCGTTATTGTTACCGGATTGGGAGGCCACGGAGCTCTTAGATCGCTTAGGTGGACGCTCCATGGAGTGACTGGGCTCAAGGGTCCCCGAGAGGGTAGAGTATTTATTCTAATTATCAGTAGTCTACTAGACATTTTTGCAACAATAGAATGAACGAGTAAAATACAAAACAATGGGTTTCAATGATATGTTAATTTAAACAAATGTATATTTGCTTTATGGGTCTTTAAGGTTCAAGGTTCTCTCGTTAAAGACTGGCTGACCTGCAATTGTAAATAATAATCGTGATAATTGCATCGCATTCAATTACTGCATACACTCGCTTATTGTAATTACTTCGAGGGACAAGAGTATTTTTTGCCATTTTACTTTAAAAACAATGAACTAAAATATTCAAGTTTTTAAAAGTGCGAAGTACTTGTCGGTAGCACTGATATCGTTGGCAAATTTTTTTTTTAAAATATTCGTTAGCTATGACAAATCTTATTTTTTCGTGATACAGAATGCTCAAAAAGTCATAATGATATTTATTTCATGTACAGTCACATTCGTACGCGGTATTTTAGTTAGGAAATTACTCACTTCTCCTTACACATATATCACTAAAGTTGTATGGATAAAAAACGACTGATTGTTACTTGCACTATTCTCCTTTTTCTGGATGTGTTTAAACGATATTTTTAAATCATTTGCCAACCTTTATTGTCTTAAAGTGTACGACAGTCAAACAAAAACGGCTTTAGAGATAGAATACCGTCGGCAAACCTGACTGTACCTCGGAAATATTGTCGTCCGTCCGCAGAAGGCAGATCTGTGGAATACTGTCTTAAGCATCTTGTTTTATGGAAGCCGTAGTAATTTTCCGTGACTAAATTTGCTGCAACCAGTCGCCTTAGGGTTCGCTGCAGACATCCTTTCGCCGTTCTAAAATCCGCGGCTCTACCCTTGACACACTCTTCCGTCCAAATTATTACTGCAATATCAAATAAATTAATATTACAATTTGTTACGGATATAACAAAATATGTCAACGGAGCTTGATCTGTTTTGATAATTTGATAAAAAAATGTTGTTTAGAAGAAAATGTACTTATAAGGCATTACTGTCGAGTGATTCGTGTAAATGGTACCAGATTTTTTTTTAGAAATTAAATCAATAAACTCTTTCAAACTCTATCATAATGATAAATCGTTATTAAAGGTATCTTAATGCTACAATAAAACAAAATTACGTAGTTATTAGTTTTTTTTATTAAATTAAGCTATTATGCCTTTTCCTATATGTTGTTTATTGTGTTTTAAAAGCTGTAATTTATTTTTCGTTTTTACCTTCGTTACATCATGGTGAACATCTTGTGGTTTTGTACTATGACCACATATGTATGTCGATACAGCCAAATAAATGTATATGACTTGTAAAAAAACTGGTAATTATGTTGATAAGTAATGGGGATCGCAGCCGCCGCCCTTGACGAGGTCAGTAGAGATGCGTCGCTTCAACCTTTTAGTGGTCACAACTTCGACTAAGGTTATTCATTATTATGATCTAGATGCTTCTTTAAAAATCCCTTTCTTTAATCATTTCCTATAAAAAGATAATAAATAGATAGAAGTAGAGAAAAGTTTACTAACTTTGATGATATTGCGCAAAAGAAAATTTGCATTAATTATTAATAAAATAAAGTTTTATTTTTATTGGCCCACAACTAAAAACTTAGGGTTTTAAATTATTATCTAGAATTAATAGTCGCTAGTTTTGATGGTTCAACAAAGATTTTGTCTAAGAGATTAAGCATTTTAAAGGTCATATTTCGTATATAGTTGTGCGTGCATTTTGGTCAAGGCGCTTCGCATATCCATGTAATAACGACTTACTTGCGCAATGACATTATTTGAGTAACGTGCCTTACAATTTTAGTCACCGATAATTTTATTAGGAGTAATTCTGTTTAATTTTCCTACCACGGATCATTTATGTTTATACTAGCTGCCGACCGCGACTTCGTCCGCGCGAAATTTTAAAAAAAATCTAAGTAGCATATATGTTCTTCTGACTATGATCTACATCTATGTCAAATTTCAACGAGATCCATGCAGTCGTTTTGGAGATACCTTCAAACAAACATCCATACATCTAAACATTCGCAATTATTATATTAGTAAGATTTGTCTTGTCTTTAAGTTTACCATATTTGAAGTTCGCATATTATGTTATGACGATCATTTGTTAAAAAAAAATGACGGAGTTGTTTTAGATTATTCATAGAGTAAATATTGTCGTATACTAACTACCTCTTTGGGATTTCCGTAGCATAAAAAAATATTATCTTCATGCCAACATGTTTCGTAATAACATAAGATTAGCAGAATGAATTATCTTCTGATTTTGTATCTGTATCCCGAACCCAATCAACTGTATTCAATGCTTGATAGTTTCCCCATTTATATCACTATAGATTATTTTCCATAGTCCAAGTAATTGCAAACTATTATAGGTGTCTATAGATTTTTTCATGTTACGAATAATTCGAATAAATGACAATTCTTAATTCGCCAAATTAAAGTAAAGTACCTGGATGACCGAGTTTTGCTCGGTATTTTTTTTTTAATTGTGTTTTTTGGAAATTACATTTAAGTACGAATTACTAATAAAATGATGAAATATGACTAATATTTTTCGATCTTACCGATAGAAAAACTTAAGTTTATGTTTAAGTTGATTATCGATAAAACACGAATAAAATGACATTTTCTAAAAATGATTCCTAGCAAGATCGATTTATCGCCCCCGAATCCCCCTATATACTAAATTTTATGAAAATCGTTGGAGCCGATAACGAGATTCCAATTATACATATATATATAATTGGTAATTGGTAATTAATACAAAAGAATTGCTCATTTAAAGATATAAGATAAGTTAAGATAAAGGCCTAGACAGTGGTTTCCGAGTTCAAAGCGCCTTGAGTTTGAATAATCAGAAAATTAAGGCTTGGTAACTGAAGTCCACTACCATCTTTATCTATTGCCTTGAAGAGGCAGAGAGGCCAACTAAGTTTATGCAGTTTTTAATAAAGCATATCAAGTATTGATAGTTTTATTTATCAGATAATTGATGTGAAGGAAATTAAATATTTACATAATTATAATATTTTACTCTGAGCGGAGTTTTTTTTACTCAAAGGATATTTCTTCAAGCATAGATATATGTTTGCTCACGTTGCGTTGTCCTCGTGTTTACTGGAGTTCTTTGGAATTACCACCACTTGTATATTTAAGCATGTTCAATTTCGTGCACAATTCCTTTAGTAAATAAAATATCGATTGAAATTTTGATCAACATGATTTTATGCAATGGTTCCTTACTAATATTATAAATATGAATGTTTGGATAAGATGGTTGGATGTTTGTTAGAAGTTATCTGATGAACGCCTGCATGGATCTCGCTTAAATTTTGCATAGGTGTTGTCTGGAATAACACATAGGCCAATGAAGGTTTTTTTTTTGATTTCGCGCGAACGGATTCACGGGTGACGGCTATTGTAAAGCAAATTATTTTTATACCTTTAACTATTTTATTGTCAAATAAAACATATTTTTTTTAATTTGACATCTAACCTAGGAACCACCATTAAATAGCCGAACTCCTAAGTTATGTAGTTGTAATTAAGTATTTGAAATTAATATCTTAAGATATTGAAACATGTTTAAAATAACAATATTTTGTAATTGTAAACGTATTTACAATGTCTTTAATAGGTTTGAGTTTGTTTTTCTTATGTGTGCATACAAATTATTTGCCTTTTGAATTGCGATAATGTTACTATTGATTTATCTTTAAACTGAACATAAAGTAAAATAGTGTGTTTTTTTCTCAAGTAATTTTGCCTAAATATTATAAAAAATACTGTAGAAAGCAATATTTCGGTAATATATATTCCTATGTATAAATTCACACAAACCTTGGTAAAATACAGTGGTGGAGCCCGCTTTAACATCGCACGAATTGGCCCGGCTCGCCCGGTAATACCACGACCACACATGACAGGCGTGAAGTAGATGTAATTCCGCGTTTAGTCTGATGGGTGTGCGTCCCGGAGGCCTACTTTAGTCTTCTTTCCCTTCCCACCCTTTTTCTTATAAGGAAAGGATGGGCACTAGATTAACTGGTTAATATTATTAGAGAGATTATCTACTTTAAACAATAATATGTACATACAATTAGACATTAATTAATTTGAACTTTAGCTTGACCTTAATGCAAATGTAATTTGTTGTATAGCGACATTTGTCTTGTATGACGTTCGAATGACAAAGAACTTTAGTATACAATTGCATTTTTTTTGCCTTTATTATATAATCTATTAATGGACGGTGTTTAAGTCATTACTAGCAAAATCGTCTGTTTTTGTATGTTCATACCCAAAACTATATTCAACAACATATTGTTTCAAACTATTTAAATTGTGTATTATTTTGTAGCCATTTCTTGTCTAAGTATTTTTGCTGGCAGATTTTTTATACTTTATTTAAGTTCATCGTTATTTTATTTACCAAAAAAAAATATATAAAGAAAGTTAGATATGTATGTAGTTTAGCATTTAAACGGCGATCATTTAAAAATAAAAAAACTGACTTTTTATCAGGTGTTTAAAAAATCTTGAACGTAACTACTATACGTGTATGCTTTGAATTAGATAGAGACTTAAAATTAAGTCGAAAGCAAATTAAAATAAATGTGGTACAAAAAATATAAAAAACCGCAAAACTTTTTTGCAAATTAAAATAACTTAACAAGAGTTGGTGGAAAAGAAAATCATTGTCATGTATTGGTTTACTCCTTTTAAAGTTTACATTACTTCAGGAAAGAACTCGAATGTTGTCGATTATTTAGGTGTAGTTAAGTAGTTTACAGGAGACTTTGCTTTAAGAACAATGATTAGTGTTTTAATAAAAAAATTGTAAAATGAGGACATTCAAAACATAACATTTTAAAATCAATTAAATATAAGAAAAATGTCGTATTTGAAAATGTGTTAATTCACTTATAATATAATGGACGTGGAAAGAAGAAAAAACAATTTAAGTATAAACAAAATTATATTAAGAAAGTCTTAAGAAAATTTTATACGAATAGGGTTTGATTAATTTGAGTCTCTTGAACTTGTTTCATTTCCGTATCGATTAAAAAGGTGCGCTGCTGCGGGTATTGACTCTGTAAATACCGCTCCTGAAAGCAGAAATATAATTAATGTTCACTCGACTTGATACTTCCTTTGAAGGGATTAATTGAAGCTTATTTAAAAGCTGCATGGATCATTTAAATAAAAGCTCTTTAATTATCATAAATAATTTTGACTATAATTCAATGACTACGTCTAATGATCAACGTCTATTTATAGGTCTACTAGTAGTTTATATCATAGTAATCAATATGTACTTTGTTTAGAACCCATATAATTAGCTATATAAGTACTAAGTAATATACTAAGTAATATTTACCCTGGTTTTGAAAACTGGTGGTCACCCATCACGAGAGGATCACCGTTACATCTGTTCCATGACAACTGTATGAAAGTTGAGCAGCTATTTCCAGATAGCTCGTTGTCCTCACGTAACGTTGCCGCGAATAACTCCCAGGCGCGGTTGTGACTACATGAGTTCGACAGACCACAGCCTGGCTGCTTGCTGCCACCGTTCGGGTAGAAGTCTACATCACCGATTGCATCTCTAAGACCATTCGAGAAAAGTCCCTCGCTATCGGTATGAATTACTTCAACGTATTGTGCGTCGCTTGCAGATAAACGTCCCGAATTATTGTCCCATTGTTTTGCAGACGGGTCTAGACCTGTAAATAACCTTAGTTGAAAATTCTGCGGTGTCTTTAACATAGAGAAAGTCCTTGTTTTCTTTACTTTTATAATATTACTCTGTTGTCGCGTAGTGTTTGATAAAAAAAATGTTGATATCTTAAGTTACGAAAATTATACTCGATAATTCCGAATAAAAATTCGCGATCAACGGAAAGTACTAATAGGGGAATGTTACCAGTAATTCTCGCAACTCGTCCTTGCAATCTCCTTCCAGCGAAACCAACGACGTGTGCACCCAAATTGAATCCTACAAGATGTATCCTACGGAGATCAACTCTGTTGGCGTCCAGCAACAAGCTGATTAAATCTCCAACCGCCGCACCCACGCTGGGGACACTAGCCACCGACAATTTATAGTCCAATCGAGCCACCGCCGACCAATCCACCACGATCACGTTAACATCAAAGTTTTGTAAATATGCTGAAATATAACCGAAAGTTGTTTTATTTATTGTAATTAATAGTCGAATTGGTGCCAACATTAATAAAAAAATTGAAAAAGGTAATTAATTTGATTTGAACCTCGCTAAAGTCGTTCTTAATTTAATTTATTCTGTTATGTTGTATCTGGAAGTTTTCTTTATGGTTTTATTGTGTTAAATTTTCAAGAAGGTTGAAATAAAATTTTAAAAGCTTACCGTTCTTGACTGTAGGGTTTAAGGAATTGAACGCTGTACTTTTGTGACCGTGTACAATGACGACTGTGTCCCGAGTTAATTCAACTCCAGATTCAGTAATTGTTGTAAGATCGTTCACGATTATTTCTCTTGGATCGTTAAAATTTCCTCTAAAAACATAAATATAGGATAAACAGATATATTAGATAAAAAATATAAATTATTATTCTCCTTTAATGCTAAAGGTGTGTTGATAATTCCATTATTGTAATTGTTATTCAGTAGACAGTGTTTGCGTCTTTATTAAATAATACATAAATGCTTTAAATAAGTAATTAAATTAATTAAATAATTTATTTATTAAATGGAAATTATTTTATAACTTGAAATAATAGTAAAAAGCGTCGGTGTACGTAATTAATTGATTTTATTTACCTTGTATAAACAAAATAGCGGTTCGCGCTACCGCTCCGTTGTTCGTTCGCTGTTGCGGTGTGTACTGAAAATGTTCATTAATTTATTATCATGTTGTTTGTTTTTTATTGTTCTTTTTTAACAAAAAAAACTGCGTTTCTAAAGTAGAAAGATGAAATTAATTAATTCTGTACATTACCATACTAACATATTGTAAGTCCTGAAATACTTCTCACTTACTTATAACATTATATATGCGAATGTGTAGATGGATGGATGGATGGATGTTTGTTTGATGGTATCTGCAAAACGGCTTAACAGATCTTTATAATATTAGGCACAGATGTAGAACATAGTGTGTGGACGGAGTTGCGGGCGACAATAGTCTTAGTTGGACGTAGTTAGTCTTGTAGATAAATTCAAACATGTACACGATTAGTTCACCGGTATCTTGAACTTAAAACACGTCAGGGTTGCTTAGAATAATTTAACTTTAAACAAAACCACTTGTAAAGCTAAACTATTTTAGTGTAAAATGCACTTTTGCAATGTAACTTAGAATGTGACAGATGATTGAAAATAAAATAAATGTTTTTCTTACCGTATACTGCGAAAAGAAACAGCGCTTTAAACATCTTGTCCACACTTTCTGTTTGTCAAGTCCGGATATGTTAAACTCATTGTTTTCCATCTCTCTTTATATATAAAAAATGAAAACCACAATCAAAGTCATATCGATTAATTAGATAAAGAATGATCAAAGCGTAACAATAAAACGCCGGCGATTTTTACATGTTATGATTTTAATCAATCGATGATAAGATTACAGTCGGTTTCCTTAAAAATTTTCACAAGAAATTAGTTAGACGACAATGACATAGTTAAAGAATAACTTTCGGCACCTACTGAAACAAATCTATATATATTAAAAATCAATTCTGTTCGTTAGTCTCGCTAAAACTCGAGAACGGCTGAACGGAATTACTTATGTTGGTCTTCAAATGTTCGTAGAGGTCTAGGGAAAGTGTGGAAAGTGAGAAAAAATCGAATATTTGGGTAAACTCTAAAACAGTCCTTTTCTTTTTCCCATATCTGAAAGGATCTCGCTGAAACTTGGCGTAGATATAAAACGCAGTCTGGAAGAACACATAGGCTTATAATTATGTTTTTTTTAATTACGCGCGTACGGAGTCGCAGGCGACAGCTAGTGCGCAATAAAATATACAGTTGCAATAAAATGATTGCAATTAATTGCATACTTTGTTGATCATAAAATTGCCTATTACTGGTTAATTCGATAGAGCGGGACACCCCCGAGATAACTTGACCTACTATCGTTAAAACATACTAGTAATAATAATAAGCCACTTCATAAAAGAAATGAGGTCATCATCATAAGTAAAAACTATTACTGCCCGCCTTAATAAAAATATTATAATAAAATGATTTAATAAGTCGCGGGTATGTAAGTATGTTTGTATGTATTTCCGTCCCATTGTTATTATCACTTGTAGTCTAAACGGCTTAATAAATTTTAGAGTATGAGGTATTGTTATCCAGAGTGGTATAAAGCCAGTCTGTATATGTATAAGTTATTTGGTATTTAAAGTAATTAAACAATAAACAGGATTTACTCAATTCCATTGATCCTCTACCTAGTTTTATAACGACTGTTTACACTCTTTATAAGCTTTTATATAATATTTGCTTACGTACTCAAGGCTTTTAATATGAATGTTTGTTATTAGTTAATCCCCGCGCCGCAATTACGTAATATGGGTTTAGCATAGCTACATAAATAGGTCAGGGGGTTTAATCGGTGACGCATACTTGCGTTAAGAAATTTGGCAGGACATTCCTATAGCTCGTCCAAGGGGTGTATGTAACGAGGGCCAGTCACATGCTGACCTAGAATCACTTGGCAAAGGATTCGCATTGTCTCAGATTCGAGATCGCCGAGCTCGGTGGTGCCATAAGTGGCAGGCTTTACTACCCCAATATACGATCATTACGTAACCACTTGAAGGGAAATATTTACTACCCTTATGTACTGTACTATACAAATACTAATTATACCGTGAATAAATATACAAGAATTTTTTTTCAGTAAAAGGTAGCAAATAAGTAAGCGCTTATTTGGTACCGGAAGAGAGGAAGATCTGTCTCCTTCTTCGCCAAATCCCCTTTCCATCTTTTCCCATAGTAGGATTTTTTTGTAACTACAAGTTATGCAAAACGTCTTTTTTTACGTATTGGCTTTGTATAATAAAGACGTATGAAGATGAAGATCTATGTTTTTATTTATGTAGTGCGCAGCGCATAAATATATTTTATCCCGAGCCTGTGACAACTTCTTGCGTCGGGAAAGATGGTGAATATACTGGAAAGGAAAAATGATATTTATGGTACAACTTTGAGATATATTTTACGTTTGGTAATACATCATGAATTGTTATAAAATATACTTTTTAAATATATTTCCTTAACATAAAAATCTACATATTTTTCATATTTAATATTCAACGGTTCTTTTTTGAGATGAGAATATTCAAGTGTCACTTCTAAAGTTTTTTTTTTAAATAATACCTGGGGAAATCTTCCTTCTTACTAATATTATAAATGCGAATGTTTGGATGTATGGATGTAAGTGTGTTCGAAGGTATCTTCAGAACGGCTGTATGGATTTCTCTGCAATAGGCATAAATGTAGAACATAGTTTGGAAGAACACATGGGCTATTATTTTTTTAATTCCACGCGGACGGAGGACTATAGCTAGTATACAATAATCATATCTTAGGTTCAATTTCAACGATGCGTAATGAATTATCAATTTACTTAGCTTATTGTATTATTTTAGGAGCATGTACTGCATTATCTGTATGTCCCTTTAGAATTGGGTTCAAGCAAGTTAAATTGGAGCTTTATTTCGTGACAAAGGGGTTAAACAATACAGGACAGGACATCGTACGGTTTCCATGAAGGAGTTTTAAGTTACAGCTCCGATGCACTCTATGGCGTTTTAAATGACTCAATAATATAAAAGAAAATAATAAATATAAGACTTTTATATATAGAACAAGAGTCGTGTAGCAATTTTTCATATTGCTAATTTTTATTAATTAATTATACCAATAATCCCGAAATCGGTACAAGGAAAATTTTCATTTCAGTGTTATTTGTAATAATCCAAAACGATGTAACACTAAAGACATTTCAGCATCACTTTTGCCTCTAAAACCTTTGGCACAAATCCCGTAAAACCACTCGTTAAGACTTTTATGTTACAGACTAGCGGTCGCATGCGACTTCGTTCGCGCGGAATTAAAGAAAAATGATAATTAGTAGCCTATGTGTTCTTTCAGACTGTATTCTATATGTATACCAAATTTCGTTGAGTTCCGTTCAGCCGTTCTGGCGATATATTCAAACAAATTTCCATTCATCTAAATGTTCGCATATATAACATTAGTAAGAAGTAATATTTATAAGCATTTTTATATTTTAAGCTTCGGTAAGATAAATCTGTACTAAAGCTATGTACATATTCTTACAGATTACCTAACGGTAGTGGCATTCATTATATGTCACCATTAAAATCATAAAGTCCAAGTTTAAATTTGTTTGATACTGGGGTCAACATCGCGCATGCGTGTCATAGGTCGGCCGCCACTCACACCGAATAGCCCGTAGTTCCACATTCGTATCGGGACCCGCGAGTCGCATCGAGCGCCCCTCTCGCATACATCGGAAAACTTTGCCAGCCTTCAGGAAGCGGGCCTTTCAAATTTCGCTACCTTAGAACACTTTAGTTGTGGTTACATGTCGTCTTATGTGTAAAACATCGTGTATTATTGCCAAAATGAGGTGGGCAGCGGTTGTAGTATTGTTCAGCTTAGTTTTTTCAGGTAAGTTTAGTAATTTATTTGAAAAATTAACAGAGAAAAGAATGTCCCCGCGTTGTTAGATTTATTTGGTTGAGATAATATAACAAAATAATAATATAAAAATTGTTCCGGATAGAAATATATAACGTAATGTTTAGATTATTTCGTAGTTCGTTTATCAGTTTATAATATAACAAACATTATTTTTGAAGATGATTACTGCTGATGATATCGGCAATTTATTGCCCATCAAAATTAGAATCAACTTAAATCTATAAAAAGGATATAAAATAGAATAAAAAATTGTTTTTTGCTTCATGGTAAAATATAAAATCTATGTACACACATGTCACAGTGATAAAAGTTACGGAAATACTATATGATTATTTTTATAACTTTTGATATATTTTAAAATATCAGTACACATAGTTTAAGCATCTGTTGAATTTTAATGAGATTACGTTTAGCAAGAAAACGCAAATATAATAACTTATTAACCGTGGGTTTTTGAGACTAAAAGCTCTACATAATATATCGTAATTCCGTTCAATATCTTTAAAATAAGTGAAATAAAAAATTTAAACAAGGACTTTGGTGTCAGAAACCCATGGTTAGTCTCAAGATCTATGTAGTCATCATACTCGTCTAAAATCTAAAATAAAACAAGTAATAGGATGGAAATAATAGAAAGTTATTATTTAAATTAACCTTGCCCGCCTTGATTTAGACACCAATAGAGATCATCGTCAAAAAAAGAAAAAAATCTTGAATGCATTGCTCATACGTTTAATTGTCGGGTCAGTCCGTGTGTCAATTATAGTTCATTCAACTAAACGAGGTTACGCTTCAATATCGTACATAATATAAAAATTAAGAGACCTTCCTGTTTGATAAAATGATCAATCGCTGAATAAAATAGTTCAAGTGTAATTTTTTACGTAATTGTTTTTATCGGTTAATGGAATATGTTTCAAACGGAATTTACGTCTGTGTATTTAGGTCCACTGTGACCTCGGGACACACATGGATTTTGAAGAGTGAGGTCATTGGATTCATAATCTTTCCCGAAGTGAAATAGGGTCTCTTCACACTTTTATTTAATTGTATGTGAATCCATATTGTGTGTGAATTAAACGGGTTATGTTGGGTACGTTAAATTGAATACATGGGCGAAATAGTAAAACGAAGCATTTAAGTTGCAGCTTATTTAAACAGTATGTTAATTAAATTTGTGAAAAAAACGTAATATTATGTATGTAAGATATGTTTAATGTTTTTAAATATTATATAACATCTTGCCTTAACAATATATGCTGCGTGTGTTTGTCCGGATAACCACGTAAGTAGTATGCAAGAATGTGGGAGCGGTGCATAGGGCGGGAAGGGCTTGGCTAAGGACAATAACCGCTTCAACCTATAACTTATATAACGCCTCATAATTCATTTTAAGGTCATAAGTCACACTAAGGTCACTGATAAAACAGATTCACGCCCCTTTTTTTGCCTAACTTTATCTACAATTTGAAAGCTAAATCTTACCCTTTTCGAAGCGAAATTTAGGCAACGAATTAGTAGAATTAAATTATTTGACTATTACAGGTTATTTGAAAAATTTGTCCTCTCTAAGGAATTCACGAGTGTCAGACAGTTTCGTATAAAAACGTTTAATTCATAAAAGTTAATATAAAATAGAATAAAAACGTGAGCATTAAATTGAGTCAAGAGTTCCAATTGGTGCAATAACGAAGAAAATTGGACGATTTGTTAACTTGAAATCTTAGAGATGTTCAATGTGAAGTTATTTTTTATGAATTAAATACCTGAGCAATCTGAAAGAAACTGAAAAGAGTATACTATTAATTTTCCAGTCACTCTACCTATCACTTAAAATAATTGGAGTACCTGTATGCAATATCGAAAATCATATTTCGTGAACATTGGTTTTTCTTTGATAACGAAAAATCATTTTTTTTACATTTCTGTCTACCTGGAAGTCCGCGTTTGTTCCGGGTAATATCCGAAATGGGTGGACCTATTTCAACGAGACTTTAACTAAAAGATAGCTTATAATCTTTTTTTATATATATTTGCTTACGTTTAAGTTAATCGTTCAATAAATTCTGGTGTTGAAGATATTCACAGTCGGCTATGATCATTTTGTTGTCACCACTACTCGCTTGCGCCTTGTTAAAAAACACTTTACTTTCATAATGGAAAAAGAACGTAAAGATACAATATACAGTACCAAAATTTTCATTGCAAACGCAAGTATTGTGAGCTCGTTGATGACATTAATTTATGGAATGGTTCGTATTGCCGCTGGATGGTCTCAAATTAAATTCATTTCAATGGCGTCCGGCTAATTGATGACGTTTGTCGCGAGCGTTGCCTAATGGACACATGTGCCATTCTACTTTGTTTATAGAGATGCCAAGTTAAATACAATAATAACTTACTAATAGTTGCTTCATTATGAAAGAAAAGCATAATATAATTAATACAATTACATTATGTCGGCAGCATGAATGAATGTTTTAAGACATAATCTCCAACAAACTTACATTTAAGTTATCCGACACCGAATCGAAGCTTAATTAGGAACTGAAGTGAAAATAGAATACATAGTTTTCTTCACCTTAGATTTGGTTTCATGCTGTGAACCTAGTTGCTAAATAGCTCGTTATAAAAAACAAATCCGTATCAAAATTCGAGAGATTCAAGTTGGCATAATCATAAGTTGTATAAAATACCGCGGTTCGGTTTCTCATTTTTCATAAATATCAAAGAAATCTAAATTTGCGAATAAGATATTGAGTACTTGCTCTAAAAATAAATAAGAGTTCAAATTAAATTTTGAACGATGTATTAATGTAGGTGTATTCCACATACCGTTCCGAATAAATTTTAAATCTTGTAAATATTTGGTAAAAGCGTTGAAACTGAGTGCGGTGGCGCTCGCTAAATATAGCTTGAGGTTACAACTCCGCTGGCCGGGTATAACATCCTAAATAAATGTCAGGTTTATCAAAACTAAAATAACATACAATGTAATATTTACTTGTATATTTTACTACATTTTCGAAGCTAAGGACCAATTATCCTTTTGCGAAAAATGAGGCAAATAGTTAAATTACGTATTTGTTTACGAAGCACCCTCCTTTATACAGAATGTCTAAAAATAACATTTCCAAACATAACTGTATCTTTATATAACACATATTTCTCCCTTATACACTCGACTACGATAAATACCATGAGTCATGATTGGTAAACTTTGATATTAACATTTGATTGATGTAATCTTTGAAATAGGTACGATTTCACTTGGCTCCTTGCCAATTCTTCATGAGAGAATCAATGTCAGAAACTTGGCTTTCATTTTAGAGACTAAATATCACGCACGGCCTTGAGTCATAACGATTTAGGATTTACCAGTAAGTCCTAGTTTACGTAATACCTCAAAGCGTAATAATACGCTGTCTAATCTAAAAATTAGTAAAATTTCTTAGACACACTTACATCTTATAGCCATTAAGACTTTAAGAATGTTCTTTTTGAAGGTCAATAATAAGAAATATTCATAGTAATCTATACCTACTTAAAATTGTATGAATATTTAACGTTTGCAATTTCCAGAGTTGCGGAAAAAGTATAGTGTAAAAGTAGAGTTATGTGAATCACGTTATTTAACTAAAAGTTTGTCGAACATTTCTAAGTATATCATGAAAACCGCGTTGTATTCCGTACCGTGTTATACTACATATGTGATGTAAAACTTTTCGAAATAAAAATTACTAAATTATGATTTAAAAAAATCTCAAATATAAGTAAGAAATTTTTGGATGTACCAATAAAGTATTTTAAGGAGTAAAGTGGAATAAGACTTTACTAAACCAATAAACTGGTTGAGACACTTAGATCCTCACTTTTTAAATCGGTTAAGCATACGTTATAGGGGGTTAAAATGGAAATTAAAACTCGAAAAATATAACAAAGCAATAGTAACTTGTTAGTTTTTTTATTGTTTATCTCACCGGACTTTGTCTATACAAGGTATTTTATTATTATAGTATTGAAATTACATTGTCAAAATTTTAAAACAATCGTTTTAACTGATGTCAAAAAATAAAGCTAAACATGTCGAAAGTCGAAATTTAATTAAATTTTTTGTTCAGTTGTTTATCGCTAAAACGAGCTCAAAGCAAAATTTCACTCGTCGCTATTTGAAACGTTTCAACTGTTCATGGGCAGATTCATTAAACTGATATGTATTACAAGCCTACATTTTTCCGTTTTGTCAGAGTTAAAAACTATACTAACTATATTCAAACTTATTTGTCGATAAATTTATTGTTATCACTGTGTATTATTTGGATGGCCATATTTTCTGCCAAGCATTAAAATATTTTTGGTTCAATTAACTCATAGATACAGCGACACCGACTTCTCGTAATTTTATATGGAAAGACTAGCTGAAGACAATGACGATGAAGATTGTCTTCAGCTAGTCTTTCCATAAAAAATTAGGCGTAGTAATTTTTTTTAAATATTCGCAGTAGTAGTAATCGGTTGATGTCGATGTCGTCTTACAAAATCAAAATGGCTGACTACAATTTTAATTTTTTAAGTGTGAAAATTCCTTTCTGTAAACATCGATGTTGTCTAAACAAATAAACAAGTACTTCGAGCGACACAGTCTAGCCTTCTAATTAGGCATCGTCGAGGAAAAAATATTCTCACTAATTAATTATTAACAACGGCAGTTCTTTGAGTTTTTTTAGACTTTAAGGATTTACTCCAAAATGTCAATTAAAGCCCAGACTTTTTATTTATAGACAAGAAATATTTTTTTTGTTTTAATAGTTTTCTATGCCAAAAAGGACAGTATTAATATTTTTTGAGTACCTAATTTTTTAACTAGGTATTATCTGTGGTGTTGTGCATGTCTATGGGCTATTAAACTCATAAGTTAGGCTATTAGGCTATCAAGCCTCAACAAAAAAAACTATTCTAATTCTAAA